TTCCTTCGAGGTTGGAGTGCATCTGTTAGAGCGATTAGGAACGACCAACCGCACACAAAAAGCCAGTAAAATGGATGTACACACAAAAGTCAGGCCTGACATAGAGCCAAAGCCCAAATGGATGAACAACCAGGATTTTCCCCTGGAGCTTACAGCCGGTAAACAAAGAAGAAGATACAGCCACGCCACTTGGGAGAGAACAGCTGCAGACCGACTCCTCTGGAGGCAGACAGTGAAAGATGGACTGATGCAGTTGGAAAGAAGGCAAATGCAGCAAGCTGTAGGGAGGAGTCATCTGAGTGAAAACGCCCCAGAATGTTAAAAGTATCCACGTGGTAATGTGGACTATGTGACAGACTGAATCTGAATCTAATTGTAGAAACAAATTTCAAGTTTAGTCCTCTTTAAGCTGCCCGAGGGCCTGCTATTTTAAGGACTGGTTCTTGGCTATCTTAACTTGAATTCAGTTTCTTTGCAGCAAAAATGATTTTCACAAAAGTTTCATTTCTCTGCTTCAGTCATGTCAGCGTGGTCTGGCTTGGCAGAATTTTGACTGGCTGTTTCTAGTTTTGGGGAGTGGAACTGGCAGCCTTAAAAAGGACTGCCAGATTTGCCTGGGGCAGCCTGGAATGGGAATGGGGGGATCTCCTGTGGGTCCGGTGCTGGCGTTTAAATGTGACAGACACTTCCACATTGGACTTTTTAGTCAAAGCAGACGTTGTTCCCCAAACCATTGGCACAACCACATGGTCCCCAGGGACTGTTACTTGCCTACACTAAGTCATGCAAACTAAATCAACTGAGGACTGTTACTTGCCTACACTAAGTCATGCAAACTAAATCAACTGAGGACTGTTACTTGCCTACACTAAGTCATGCAAACTAAATCAACTGAGGACTGTTACTTGCCTACACTAAGTCATGCAAACTAAATCAACTGAGGACTGTTACTTGCCTACACTAAGTCATGCAAACTAAATCAGCTGAGGACTGATGCTTGCCTACATCAAGTCATGCAAACTAAATCAACTAAGCAACACAAATCACATACAATGTGCTATGTATTTGGACTCTGTGGATGATATATACAAATGCTATTGTTGCAATAATTATTTCTTCAATAAGGCATCGGCTATGATCTTTTGGGCTGAAGAGTTAACATTACATATAACATTAATTTTACATAAAATTAAGCATTAGAGTTAATAACATACTAAACATAACACTGAAATAAACATCACAGTTTATTTTTTAAACCTCCCCGTGTTGGATCCGGAGCCCCATTGTGGGGAAAACAAGAATAGATACACTGCCTCCCCAACAAGCATGTAATAAGAGTTGACTAATTGGGAGCTTCCTTTGAAGTCACAGTACATCTGCCTGAGAGGCAAGGAACAAACAGTCTGCATGCTAATGAGTCAGACCTGTGAAATGGATGGGCACACAACACTCAGCTTCTGGAACAGGACTACAGTCCAGAAGTGGATGAACAACCAGAACTTTCAGCCAATGAACGTGAAGAAGAAGATATTTAAAGCCAAACTTAACATTAACATTGTGAAGACTCAAGGAGAGACAAATTCATGTACTATATACATGAAATCTTCTTTAAATATAAACTTTAATTGTCATTTACTCCAGATTTGTTTTGTTCATTAAAATGAAAAACATAACTATGAGTAAGCCAAAATAAATAAGTCAGCTGACTAAAAGTTGCTTCTCCTGATTACTAAAATCCCATCATAAAAGGTTGAGAAAACTGGTCCAAATACCAGCATACAGTTTCAAACGTTAAGAAGAATTGTCCAAAATATTACATGTATACATGTGACTGAGGCCCTGTTAGGGTATATTTTTGGCCTCGATAATTTGGTACCGTTATTAGGAAGATAGCCCTTAAATGTTTAAAAACAAAAGTATAAAATACTGCGTTCAAAACATAAATGTTTAGGAACAATGGTCCAAAATTCTGAGCTCTAATCATAAACACTGGGGAACTCTGTCTTTTCTTTAACATGAGTTACTATGATTTAATACCAATGAATTTCACCACTGAATTTTGCATTTCTGAAAGGAAAACAATCTACGCCCTGTAAATTTGTTAAATCACATGAATTATCTAGTCACAAGCGATTCTCTGCGGGAAGGTTCGCGTGATGGCTTGGCCTGGCCATCAGATTCTAGAATTGTGTTTCTTCTGCTTTGCTGCTGCCTCAGAATTTGATCAGGTACTGGTGTTTCTGCAAAGCTATCCTGGAGGTCCTAGGTAGGTGCAAATAAAAACACATTTTTACTGTAAATGAACTGGTGGGACCCAAAATAGGATAAGACTGACAGCAAATAGGGAAGACAAATGGATCGATACTGACAGAACCAGAGCACCTAACCACCAATTCCAAACCCTTCCCCCTACCCCAATGGTACGATGGTAAAGACTGGTGACGTGATGCGATAATCCCAACTAACGGCCACGCTAGAATCCAGCAAGACGACAAGGACGAGGCATGATCGAATGGTTTCCCGCCCTCTTTCCCCTCTCCTATCCATTCCTAATGCACTATGAGTACAATCCCCTCCCCCAGAGAGAACTTGAGTCTGGTACCCCACAAGCCACAAAAATCTTCATCGCCGAACATTTGGATCTCAAAGTGTGAGCCAGGTATACAAGGGATCTCGTATTTACGTACACTGGAGCCTAGCTACCAACCCAAACTGACACATCAGACCACACTATAACAAATGACGAATAGAATCATTGTGAGGCTCCACCTAACATTTCACACACATCTCCATGACATGTTTAACCCGTTCTTATTGTAGAAAGACACCCATAATACCACTATGGTCACACGCATAATATTTTCACATTCTGGGTCTTTCCAAACTCAAAAACTGTTTTCCTACTTTTCATAGTCTGAATCACTTTCCCAAAACATCTCATTGAAACTTCTTCTTCTTCTTCTTCTTCTGAGTTCATCCAAAGATGTAATTGTGTTGTGCGTGTTTACAGCATGGCTGCGATATTTGCACCTTTCAGCCAAGACATCCAACTTCTGTGGGATTTGTTGACCAGGTTAACCTTCTCGGACATATTAGTCTCATTGTTGTGTGGCCATCTTTGTTTCCCAGGTCACCGGTGGTGCCCCCCATCAGGCTGTTCCAGAGAAGCCACGTAATGTTGATCAGCTCTCAAGAGAAGGCTGGGGCAGAACATTCGCATTCCCTGCCATCCAAGGAGGCTTCCACGAATGCAGAGCTAATACATGGTGCTCTGGTACTGGGCTCACCCAAGGAATCATCATGTCCTGCTCATGACTGTTTAACCTCACTTCCATATACTGAACAACTCATTCATCGTGGGCTATATCTTTGGAAACCAACAACAGGCAGCCTGCAGACCAGGGATTTCAATTACCTACACAAAATGAGTACTCTGCTTCTTTTGCATGTCAGACTTTTACTGCAGTGGACTTCCACGTCCACTATAGTTTCATATGGCATTTCCCACATAGATGCCTAGAGGCACCCAGTGTGGCAGTATACAGACTGATAGGTCCGTTTCATTTTCTTCCCATGTCATGGTCTATGAACTCTGCATCTCTAGGGACTACAAGAATCCCTTACAGTTTTGTTCTTCTTAAACCTTCAAATGTCAGTCTGACAATATATAAAGAAATCAGCAGTCAACCTGAGGTTGTTGACATCTCCACAAAGTCTGTCCTCAAAGGGAGCAGGTGTTAGCCAAAATAATTGTCTCTGTTCTGCATATGCTGGACACTCTTGCAGCAAATGTTTAGTGGTTATTTGACCCTTTCCGCAGTTACAGTCATCAGTGTTTCCTATATTTAGCTTAATGAACAAGTGGTGTTTCAGCCTACTGTGTCCTGTGACGAGTCTAAAGATCACTACTTGTTCTCTTCAGCCAAGTTGGTAGTATGCACCATTCTTCTTGTGGTCTTAATGTTCAGAATCCCGCTTGGTACTATAGTTACTTCTTATAAACCTCTTGTCCTCATCATATATGTTATGTCTATATCAGGCTATATTCACTTTCCTTTGCCAATCTGCCAGCCTCTTCATTTCCAGGTATGCAGCAATGGAATGGAATCCATTGTACTATGCCTCTTTTTGATTTCTGACTCAGTCTATGGAGTATTTGTATTGTTTTTGCTCTTCAGTACGGTGACAACTGACTTCGCATCTGTGAAGATAGCTGCATGTTTCTCTTTATTTTACTCTGACAGAAGCATTTCTGCAACAGTTCTCAAAGCCTCTGCATCTGCTCTAAAATTACTTGAGAATTTTCTGGTTACCGTCGACTGTTTTATTGTTAATCCATTTGTCAGATTCAGGACTATCCCCCCCCTCACCTCTATTTTCTGAGTGTTCTTTTTCTCAATACCAGGAAAATTTTCTGTCAACTCAGGCAGGTGCTGCTGTCTCCAAGCAGGCAGCCTACGTGTAATGTGGAAGGGTTTGGATATTGATATGTTAATTATAAAATCTTCTCTGATCTTAGTCTTTTGCAAGTCTCTACAAAGTTTTTCACTTTAGTCTTTCCCTTCCCAGATGATTAAACCTTTGATACATGGGGTGATCTGTCAGCCTTCTAAATTTCTCTGCTTGTTGCTGGGCTCTGCTGTCTCTCCTATCCTCCACTGGTTGCAGACCTTTTCTAATTCATTAATAAGCACTGTTTTCATGGCCCCAGTTAAAATCCGCATTCCTTGATTTTAGACTCTACTTATTTTATGAAGAATTAAAGGCATATTCTATTTATACATTTTAAAACAAATAGCATAGTATAAATAAGATGCAGCGTTTTTTTAAAGGACCAGAAAGGTTGGTTTAGGTGTATACACCCTTCAGTTCATAGAATATCCAAATGTAAAACACTTAATTTACAAACAAATCTGATTAAATAACAAGGTAGTTTTTATTTCTTTTATATATATATATATATATATATACACACACACACACACACACAAAAACCTTACCTTAAATTTTAACCCTTCTGATAAGGAAAAGCTAAAAAATGGGGTTGAACCCTCAGGAATTGATGGCAGAGTGAAGTCTGAGCTGGGAGCCTGGTAATTCTGTATCCTCTCCAACTTTCTCTGCAGCATTTTTTCATGCTTGTTGACTGTCAAATTAATTGAGACATTCTTTGTTATTTTTGACATTTAATAACAATACTAGTTATGTATACACAGAGACATTGAATTCTTATGTTATTTCAATTTTAACATACACCAGCGAAAGTTGGAGAATGATGAAAGACATGGAATAAAGGTTTAAAGCTTTAGAAAAAAATGCTTAAGATAACTGATGAAAATTAAATGGGATGAATTCAAGAAAGGTAAAGAAATAAGAGAAGTTTTTGGATAACTACTTGCAGAAAACGTTAACAACAATGAAGGTGGCGATATACTGGACAAATACTGAAGAGGAGCGACACAGTTTCACCAAACGCTAAATTGGAAGCAAATAAACTGAGGAGACAAGGATGATTATGACACAGATCCAAGTTTTGTTGATAAACAACAAAAAGGTCTCCCCTGTGGGTTGCGGGGCCCCATTGTTGGGGAAAACAAGAATAGACCCACTGCCTGCTCAAAAGCATGTCGTAAGAATCGAATAATTTGGAGCTTCCTTCAAAGTCACAGTACATCTGCCAGAGAGGCAGGGAACCAACAGTCAGCCCGCAAATGAGTCAGACCTGTGAAACGGATGTACATGCAACACTCAGGTTCTGGAACAGGACTGGAGTCCAGAAATGGACGAACAACCAGAACTTTCCACCGGAGTTTGCAGCCGCTTAACGGGAAGAAGAACAACAACAACAAAAAGGACTGGCCCAAAAACAAAAACTTTTTTTGAAAAGTTTATCTGCAATTGTAAAAAAAAAAAAAATAAAAGGAATGGCAAATGACCTGTTTGATTTAGTTGGCTTTAGTTCATCTTTATTATTTAAAAAAATAATGCCTATCTAGTGTCTTATTTATTGTGATGTTGCAATATCTAACCTCATTTTTGCCAACACATCTGACTTCACCACAGCATTATTTCAGACTGGTTTATGTCTTTCCTCTTCAATCCTTTTCTATCAGTGAGACTGCAGTGATGGAGCTCGTTTCCAGAACCATCACTAGAAGGTCTCCCCATGTACTCACAGGAACCAATTTTGGCAACAACAAAAAGAATACAACCATGCCCCTCAACAAGCATGTCAGAGAAGGTGACTAGTTATGGTTTGTTGAAACTGGATGTGTAAGGCTGAAAGTCTCAAATATCCCAATCTAGCTGTAAACCACATGTCAACAGTCCTTTTAAGAGCAAATACAGAAGAAGAAGAATTCAAAGGTAATGGGAAGAATTCAAAGGTGATGGAAAATGTTAGCTCTAGTTTACTGACTCTCATGCACACATTCTAGGCACAGAAATTATTCTAATAAACTTTTCCACGCCTTTAGGCGTATAGGGTATATAGGGCTAGACTTATATTTTATAGACCAATCAGCACAAGATGGGTGATGTGGTCAGCATCATGCAGGTGTAACTAAAAAGCTTAACAAAAAGAGGGAAAGGGGAACAACGTGCATAAAACAGACAAATCAAAGGTACAATCAGAGCCTTTCTTAACATGAACTACACAAGTTATAAAGGGTGAAGTCTAGCCATATGTTGATGAATGCATTCACTTCTTATAAATTCTTCTTTCTTTAAATATGGAAATTCTTATCAGTACTACAATACATTTAAATGAGGGATAAGTTTTCATTCAGAAAATATGAGGGGATTTCAGTAAGTAATTTAGAGATATCAGTAAGTGAAAATGTAGGTGCAAAAGTTGTAACTGCAACATCTTCATGCTTTCTGCCTAGGTTACGTAGCAGAATGATTAATGTTTCATGTGCAACACAAGTAAAAAGGTCAACACTTTTCAAATGCTAAAATAAATAGGTCATGAACCTGTGAGGATTTCCAGAAAATATTCTTTAAAAACATATATATATAAAAAACAATACAACAAATCGTGCACAGGTCACTAATAAATTAAAACATTTTCTTTATAAATGTATCTACAATTTTTTGTTTTGTTTCTTGAAATATATAAAGATATATAAAAGGGGTAATCAATAAACATGAAAAAGGTGAAGCACTAAACGTAATACATTCCTGAGGCCCAAAAAAAATCTCATATGTATTGGATGCCTGATGCTGAAAACCTGTGATTACTATCACTGAGGCTTATGGGAAAATTTGACATCTTTGAAAAAGCCACTGGGATCATAAACATAAGACCCCCCAGCCCCCAACAAATGCTATTTTAAGTTCCTATAATCACATCCTAGTTGGTTTAACAGAGAACCAATGGAGTTTAACCAGACTTTTCAAGATCAAGTCACTGTAAACAGCCTGATATATTGACACTTATGGGACTGTGACAACCAGAGGTAACTAGATTTAGTCTTCTCGAGGCTATGGAGTTCATGGCCTGAACAAAACTTGCAAAGATCTCAAGAGTCAAAGTAACAGAAAACATAGAGTGGTAATCCTGCGCAACTCATCAGCCAACACTCTTTTTTATACAGCATATTTATATGCAACTCATACCCATGCCAACTGGCAGAAATCAAAACCAAAAGTGAATGTCTTCTGTGCCAACAGCAATATAGACACAGATTTCATCTCTACAAACCTGGTCTCTTCTTTAAATCTTCATTAGCAGACAATGATTTGCGAAATCCTGCCCAGTAAAACAGCAACTCCCGAAATACATGAAGTTGGGCCTCATCAAATAAAGATGGGTTGACATCCTTCCCATTGAGATATCTCTGAGCAGCTTTCATAATTTTCTGGTGCATTTCTGCTGGGATGTCAATCTGCAGAAAGATGTAAGGCACAAGTTTGCTTATTAATATTTTTTTTTAAATGTGTTTAAATTTACAAGTATTGATTAGCACACATAGAGGCAGAAGAAAGAAGGACAGATGAGAGGATGTGCTGGACAATAAAAGAATTGAAAGCTATAGACATAAGGTATATGATGTCCACAGTAGTAGTAATTTCCACTAGTGTGGCCAATAGTAGCAAAAGGTTGAACTTTTTATGCCATTTAGTAGGATCTTTGAGTGAGGAACATCTGAACCTTTTTTATCAACCAGTAGGACATTTGAAACTAAGCAGCCATTCAGAAGTAGTCTCGGTCGACAGACATTTGAACCTGAGCAGCCATACAGAAGGAGTCTCGGTCGACAGACATTTGAACCTGAGCAGCCATACAGAAGGTGTCTCGGTCGACAGACATTTGAACCTGAGCAGCCAAACAGAAAGAGTCCCAGTCGACAGACATTTGAACCTGAGCAGCCAAACAGAAAGACTCTCGGTTGACAGACATTTGAACCTGAGTTTGTCATATAGAAGGTTAATTTTCCAGTGGATTTCACTCATGTTCCAAATGAGGCTTTCCTGTAAGTTACCACCCATGCATTTGAGGTTGGCTAATTGGCTAACGAGTGCCAGAGGAATTCCTGGGACTGCATCTGTGGGGGCCACCAACTCCAAGATACCCTGCCAACTCAGTTCAGGCTGATATAGGCCATTATCTGCACTGCAAGACAGGGAGGTGTGGCAGGAGTCATGCTTGAGGATCTGTAAATTCAGCACAGAGCCAGCTGGTGCCCTAGGTGAGGTATAGGGTAACTCCTTTGCACATCACAACAGCCTTTACTTTGCCTAATGCTTGTGACTAAAATCACCATGGGTAGGTTGAAATTTGAAAATTATCAAACTCATTATTAAGTAGGTCATACCTGTAATGTTGGTAAGCAGGCAGAATCCAAGAAACACTCAACAATTGACTGCAGTTTCCTCTTCAGTGTTTCTTCATCTGCGAAATTATGACTTGCATCCTAAAATTAAATTAAATCTTAAAAATGACTTGTCATGTTATATATAAAAGCTAATTTTTTTCTTAAATTCTAAAACAATTATACAATTAACTATACATATATACCTAAGAAAACATGTATGATGCAGCAGGTCTTTACATGTCACCCTTATACCAGCTCTATTGTGACCACACAGTCTCTCATGTTGTGTGTCTGCTTTTTATATTCACCAGTCTCTACCTCTTCTTCCTGGCTTTTGATTTATGCTCTTTCTAAGCCAATGAAATGTTTAAAATGGCCAGAGTATTTCACTCATCAAGATGGAATGATGCTGTTTATGAGGCAGTTTTATTTAATGGTCTCAGATCCTGAAAAACTCTTTGAGTCCCAAGGAACGCATCATGCGCTAATCGGTTACTAACCAGAGCGCTAATTGGCGTGACACGTACTGGTGTTTAATTTACAACTGGCCAGTAAAAGAGCAAACTGGCAGTTTTGAATGGTGTTTTCCGTTCTTTGTGTTTGAAGATGGATGTGCTGTCCAATTGGGATATTCAAAAACTTGGTTAAAAATATTGTATGTTTTAAGCTTTACCGAGTTACTAAGTGTCTCTGTGAAAACAGTATGGCCTCCCAGCAGACTTCTTTGTGCATGCCAACTAGATTTATGACTTTAAAAGCCTCACATTTAAATAAAAAATGTGTTTATCAGATTTATCTGAAGCTAGACAAAGAAAGTTATGAAGTAGACTTGTTTCAGTCATTGATAAGTGTCAAGCTTTGATGATGAATAACTCTGAAATATACCTCACACAAAGCCTACAACGATAGTAAAGTGAGCTGGTTCAAAAAGAATACATTTTAGTAAAAAGCCATTTTTCTTCAGTGTCAGTTAGGTCTAGTGTGATTCCCTTAGTATTTGGGAGCATAGACTACAAAATTATGGGCAAACTGTCTGTTATATAAAGTTTTTTTTTTTTTTTTTGGTACAAATACTAATTGTTTTCAGAGGTGATTTTTCTTTACCAGAGATTGTGCTCTGTTATGATGTTTTAAAAGTTTATCAGGAACGAGAACTAATAGGCAGGTTGTGTTTATTTTTATTTATACATTACTAAGTGCTAACGTTCATTTGTAATTCATTTTAAATATATTTTATCGAGTTTTCCTTGAGTGCCATGGTGTTAAGTGAAAAAATTATTATTCTTTTTTACTAATTTCTCAAAACTTACCATCTGTTTATTTACTAATAATTAACTACTAACACAATTTCTTGAGTAGCAGTATTCTAATATTATTCGTCAACAATCGCTGGTCACTTTGATGTATGTGTATGTTAAGCGGTAATTGAATTAGTTTGGTCTGTTTTAATGTGTAAAACTTGTGAAATTTCAAAATTGCATCACCGCCCCTTGGGCCTCTGGAGCTAAACCCCCTGGGACTCAAAGAGTTGCCTCAAGTTCAAACTGTATCTATTTTAAGTACAAACCTTTAGCTCTTTAACTCTTTGAGTGACAAGGAATGCATCATACGTTCATAGATTCCTACCTACAAGCCCAGTGAACGCAAGATGCACAGATTTTACATCTATCTTGACTACCCTTTCGGCCTGTGATGCTGAACTCCCTGGGACTCAAAGAGTTAAGCCCTATAAAATTTAGGAACAAATAGATAGGAGGGAAAATAACCACTATCAAGAGTTAAATGTGCATAGTTTTCAAAGATAAAATCACACACGTACACAAAAGAACCAGGTGGAAGCAGTCATTATAGAAGCCTTCTTGCTCTTGTAGATTTATGACTAAATTTACAAAGTAAGATAATATATTACACGATGGAAGAGATTCAGGAGAAATAGCCACTCATCATTTGTTGTTGTTTGAATGGGACTGAAAGAGTAAACGTATTAAGAATGCACCCTCACACTAAATAAAGTGGTGTACTCATTTCTGAGTAGCCGTGTGGCCTCTCAAGTCCTGAGCTACTACAAGAACACTAAATAGTCTCTACAACTGTTTATATTTACATACTTCATTGGCCAGGCTTCTGGGTGAAAGCCTGTTTCTAGGATGAGCATGAAGAGGTGTAGGCAGGGCTTGACCAGTATGAGCCCTGGTCATGGTGCTGTGCACCACCTGGTGGGGTTCAGCCCCTACACACCTCTTCACGCGAACTATCTCATACTTTCTGTTTCATACCACCACACAGATCTTCTAGTGTCTTGCCAACTGGCACGGACAAGCATGCCTGCCTGCATCTTGTTATCTCCCACAGCATGTATTAATTAATACGCTTATATCTTTCCTTGCAATTACAAGAAGATGTTAACAATCTCCACTCACTATCCTAATCTACCCCCCTCCCCCCCCCCCCCCCCCCCCCGCAATAAATCTATCCAGTTGTCACACATGTGTCAACAAATTCTGACTGTCATATTTTAGTCATACATGTGGCCAAAAATGATTACTGCTGTTTTTTAGTCACAAATGTGGCCAAAAATGATGACTCATACTTTAGCCTCTTTCAATATATTTATATTACTCATTTTGGCTTTACAAAGAATTTTAAACATTTTTCTGTAAAACCACATTTCTGAGGCCTCAAGGACATTTTTTTTTTTTTTTTGCTTATTTACAAATGTCCTGAATTCACAAACAAATGTTAAAACTGGCTTTATCAACACATTTAGTAGTTTCTATTTAATTTCCCCCCCCCCCCCCCCTTTTCTGCACCATAAAATATACAGTTGCAGTATATAATTCCCAGTGTGGGATCTGGAATACCATTGTAGGAAAAACAAGACCCACTGGCTTCCCAACAAGCATGTCAACTAACTAGAGGCATCCTTCAAAGTCGGAGTACATCTGTCTGAGAGGCAAGGAACCAAAGGTCTTCACACAAATAAGCCAGATGTGTGAAAACCGATGTGCGCGCAACATTCAGGTTCTGGCACAAGACTAAAGTCCAGAGGTGGATAAACGTCCAAGAACTTTCTGCCGGAAAAATCATGTGACAGACAAGAAAATTATCTACATGAATGCATTTTGTACTGTTTGTTTCAATGAAACACTATATTTGCTTAATTTGGTTAAAGAGTCTGCCCGTGTTATCAGTGTCCATAACAAAGCTGTAAGTTATTTGTAAGCTATAACGCATGTTGTAAGAGGTAGCTAAAAAGAGTTGGAGTGAGTGTGAGTTGGCTTAAGACTTACTCCACTGAGAGATACACAGCAGAGGATGAACTAACAACTCACCTTGAACTTCTGTACTTCTATGTAGAAAAATAAATTCTTGTCAATTTGGGGCATGCCGTCTGCTTCACCATGTTTCAGCAAATATTTGTAGAAGTACAGCATAGGCATAGTTAGATGGCCCATAGCACACTGATTCAGAGCAGCCAAAAACTCATTCCTGTCCTCTCTAGTGGCCTGAGCTCTACCTGTTGTCTGATATACAAATGAATACAGAGTAATTATTCCAGTTATATAACAGATTAATTATACATTTTAGATAAAACTATCATGACCGGATTGTACAAACTCTTCTTCTTCTTCTTCACTTACCAACAGTGAACTCCGACAGAAAGACTTAGTTAGTCGTCTTTGTCTGGACTTTGGCCTAGTGCCAGGGCTGAGTGTTTGTGCACATTCATTTTCCAGATCTGGCTTATTGTGTGCAGACTGCTGTTTCCTCACAACTCAGACTTAAAAAGAAATGTCCATTCTATCTACACTGACTAAACCATCACTAAGGATGACCAGTTAGGACAGGCCTATTCAACTGCCAGCCTGCGGAAGCCTAGCAAATGGCCCGTGAATCATTGTCAATTGTACTGTATTAATGATCTTTCATTCAGTGTAGGGTTTTAGGCCTTTGGCCAGTGACAATCCCCACTTTTTACAATTTTGGTCCCTGAATAAACTTAGTTGAATAGCCCTGATCTAGGATGACCATGTAGAGGTGTAGATAAGTCCTGACTAGAATTAACCCTCTTCCTGGTTTCACGGCCACAGAAAGTGATACACCTCTACATTCCAGAATGTCAAGGGCTCAGTTCATACCTTTGATGAATCAGACAATGAGACCCATAGTTTCACTGACCAATCAGCACTCAGTGGGGGATGCTGCCAACATCTGGCCAGCCATCTTTTCTTCCCAGGACGTTACATTTTAGGCTGGGTTGACCAACAGCTCCCTCTCATAATGTCCAAGAAATATATAATGTGTGACAAACATTTACCACACACAACAGACACTGCAGCCATATGTATAAGAAATTCAAGACTGTGAATTCATAACTTTTCCCATATTCACAGCCACCACAGAATACTGAACAAGAGCTACAGTCAAGCTCTACATGCCGTGGAAAGATCCCAGGTTTGGCTGGCTGGCTTTCCAATAATAATCAAGTTGTATGACACAGTGGAAGACATTCGTCACACCGCAGACTTCTTTAAAGCCTGTGACATCCTCATCTGAAAACCTCAGGTAGGGAGAATGGAAAGAAAAGAAGAAAAAGACATCTACACATCTACAGTGAAATCAGAATAAGCATGTCAGGGAGCTACAGTAGTACAGTGGCTGGCATGCTTGGCTCCTGTCCTCGTAGTTATGGGTTTGGATCCCTATTTTGTGTGCATCTACCTGAGTGGCAAGGAATCAACAGTCTATATACAGTTAAACCAGATCTATAAAATGGATGTGCATGCAACATTCACATTCTGGAATAAGACTAAAATCCAAAAGTGGATGAACAATCAGAACTTCTCACCAGTGAATGCTAAGAAAAAGAAAAAGAAGAAGAAGAACGAAGAAGGAAAAGAAGCAGCAGAAGAAGATATAGTTGTATATACTTATGTAGAAAACAAATGGCACTTTAGGGAATGATTAATATTATGTGGGAAATAGAGGTTGGCAATGTTGTGGTGATAACACATTGATACCTGCAGAAAAACAGCAAACATGCAATAGAAATATCCCAAATCATCAAAACAGAAAAATAAGTCAAGGGTTTTTGTCGAAAAATTATGCTAACCCCATCTTAGACTAAAAATGGCTTTTTTTTTGGAGGGTTATCACCCTTTCACCCCAACAGGATGCAAACTGGCACTTCTGGTAAGCTTCAATTCCCCCAGATCGCTGCTTTTCAGGCTTGTCTACAGTGGAGTATTACAAGACATCTAGTTAGCACATAGGCTGTTTTTTTTTTTGGTGCACCTGTACAGCATTTACTAAGTCAGGATGTCCTTATTATATTAACTAAAATAGCAGGGGGGTTGGGGGGGGGGGGGGGCCGGGTTTCTGCTGTCAACTATTTTGCTTTGCAAAAGTCATTACAATGTCATTATTTTCCATAGGCCTCAGTGTTAAAGGTCACGGGGTCATGGCATTAGTCAATCGATACAAAATGGAATGGTTAAGACCCCCGGGAGAAATGTTCCATTTATCACTTCCCTTTGTTTATCTTTATTGATTCTCACTTTGTATATTTTGAAAACAATTATAAAATTAAGATGAAAAAATTGTTTAAAAATTTATTACTGACCTGAATAAAATATTTTTATTTTGAAGCAATTGTTTCTGGGATTTTCCTGTGAACCCGACCCATTTTTTATTAAAGCGTTCCTGCGGCCAAAATTTTAAAGAACTCAGCATTAACATTAATCCCATTTCCTACAAGAATGCAAACTGCATAAATTCATTTAAAAAAATGACTCAGGAAGTTTTTGTGAAATTATTCTCCTGCACATATTTGCTGGTCTCGATGCAACAAACACTGTACAGGATGATTACCCCTTTGGAGACAACGCAGCCGAAATATCGGCCCAACACAAAGTAGCCAAATGGACGACTGGGCCGTTCAGTCGTCCCTATATAATAGAAGCCTTGATGTTGGCTGGCAGGTTTTTGTACCAGCCAATCAGACTGCTTCTCGCATTTCTTGCACATGTAGGCTGTTCATTGACGGTTTTCGAGAAAGTTTGATGTATTCTGTGATTTTACATCAATTTTTTTATGAGATTACCTGTGCTCAAAAATGGCGAAAAGGACTGTTGCATCATAGCAACCGAAACATAGCTGGAAGCAGGATAAAGACTAGAATTATGTGCCAGACCTATCTAAAGGGCTCCATGGGCCTTACTTCCCAAAATACAGGTGTTAGGACTTATTCAAGCTTCATCCATTAAAATTCACCGACATTTTTCAGGTTAATTATGTTTGTTCCCAAGTTTTTAAAAAAATTGCTTGCAAAAATTATGCAAATCAGAATAATTAATTTTAATAAATGTTGAGATTTCAGTTTGATTCATAAATATTCTGCTAGTTCATTCAATATCTTACAAATATATATATATATATATATATATAGTTGTGTATATAATAATTAAATGCTTTTTTAAAATAATTTTTTGTGTATAAACTATGAGAATCCCCTCCTGAAGGCTCTGTCTTCTTGGCACGGAAACTCCAAAAAGGCTCTGTCTCCAAAGAGTTCAGTAAAAGACCTTTTTTCTCCCACACAAAAATTGATATCAATCTTATAAAAAGCAAAAATTAAGAAATTTAGGTCTAGCAAGAGTTAAAGAAAACATCTACATATTATTTATTCATTTAATAATTCCTCTTCCTCCCACATGTTTACCTAAAATATTTTGTTAAATGCTTAAAAAGATTTAACAAAAGACTAAATACTGACATATTAGCATGCACTACAAACCCACATTTGTTTTGTCAAGATGGTATACAAGCTATTACTTTAAATATTACATAACAACAGTTAATATCACATAGTGAAGAACACTTTAAAGTGAAATATTGTTACATTTATCATACAATATTAATATTTATTATGTAAAAATTAAACATGCATATCAGTCCAGAGTTTACAAACAATAATGGTAATACAAAAAACATTAATTATTAATTAAATTTAAAAAAAAATTATAACTACAAGAATGTTATTATTGATAAAACATTCATAATTAAGTGTTTGATAATATTAATGTTAGTAAATATACAGTCAAACATGCCACTAAAATTCAAAATATAGAAAGGAAAAATATCTTGATAAAGAAATGCATTTATTACTGCAGTATGTGTCCTAAAAAAAGCACTGGATTAGAAACATGCAAAGAAATAAGAAATATAATGTGCCTAATACTTAAGGACTAAAAGACTTGATAGCTCTTTCTTGATTTGATGGGTGGTGGTGCATGGCCATTCTGAGGTGATGGAGTGATTTATCAGGTTAATGCTGATAACATGAGACTCTAGGCTATTAAATAATTTGCTGGTGGCATGGTGATTTTAGACACAGGCGTGAGGTAAAGATAAATTTGTTGTGATATCTATAAGGAGATACCCCATACCGCACCTCGGGTGCTGGCAGGCCTTGTGCTGGTTTTACAGATCCTGGTGCAAGACTCCTGCCACACATCTTCTGTGCTTTGGATAATAGCCAGTATTGACCAAAACTGAGCAGGCAGGAATCTCAGAGTTTGTGGTCCCCAGAGATGCATTACCCAGAAATCCTCAGTCACTCATCAGCCTTCACACAGGTGAAAGTGACCGAGAAAACTAGACTGTAACATGAGAGAAGCCTGCTAGCTCACCCTACTAAATGACAAACTCACGTTCAAACGTTCATCACTTGAAAGTCCTACTATATGACCAACCTTGGTTCAAATGTCTGTCGACTGAGAATCCTACAGTATGGCTGCTAAGGTTTAAATGTCCATCCATTAACTGTCCAACTGTATGACAGCAAAGGTTCAAATGTCCCTAGCTCAAAGATACTACTTTATGACACAAAAGTTTCAAATGTCTGCTACTAATCTCCACACTCACGAAGTGCAATGACCATATACGGAAGCCATGCCTGTTGCCTGCCTCCTTTAAATACTGCAAAAAGTGCCCTCAGCATCCATATGAAAGGTACCATTGTCAAGGAGAGAAGTCTAACATGCTGAAGAAGTGAGTTGGCACTCTGTGCAGTGAATCAGAGTTTCACTTCTGCAGAATGCTTCCTGGAGATTCATAAAGGGCAACAGCCAGTAATGAGTGGAAGGCTCAATATATGGATGTGAGGTTAAGCAGTCATGTTTAAAGGTTAAAGTCGAGAGGAAGACTTCATCGCACCAGGTTTAATTCCATATGGTTCTGTCTCACTCCGCAGAACCACTAGCCACCTGCCGAGAGCGCTGCACAGAGCAAGAATTCTATAGCTCTGGCGATGATCCCCAGAAGATTTCGGTAAAAATGTGCACTTCTGAACTGAAGGGCGCAGCCATGAAATGAACCCATGACTTTCAGAGCACAAGTCAAACAGCATTTACAGAAGCCTCCTTGGATGGCGGGGGATGTCCATGCTCTGTCCCTGCCTTCTGTAGATCAGGGGATGACGAAGTCACCACACATATGACACTACAGATGTCCCACGAAACTA